ATACAATTGCGTATGAGATGTCTATAGGGTGATTTAAGTTTATCAATAGAATTCTGAGCTGGAAGTTAGATTTGTTATTGTGTCGATTTTTCCCCGGAACAAATTTTGCGCATGGACAAATACAGTGAACACCGTAAATCCGACCTTGCCCTCCACGAGGGAGTAATTTTTGGAAGTTAATTCGAACTTTTCTCTTTGCTCATTTTGTGAAGAATCCAGGCGTGAATGTATTTGCTGATTGTATGGGAACCTGACAACAGTCGGTAGATTCTGTAACAGCCTTGTTATTTGATATGTCGTCAGAAACTGAGGAACCGTGTATGCGAGACGCGTGAAACTGATAGCGTTTGAAGTGAGTGATCTTGCGACGGAGCACAGGTTCGTTACAAATGTCTGAAATGTTTATGTGTGCTGTGACTCATATCAGTATGTCTGTATCTTATGTGTCAGTAGGTCTATAGAATATGTGTATTTCAGACATTTGTAACTAACCCCTGTTGATCAGTGCAGAGTAACAGACGATATTTCTGATAAATTGCATGAGCATTAAAATTGTTTCCATTGCCGGCATTGGTGATTTCAACCGATGTGCATTTTGTACTATATTGCAGACCTTGGTCTTGTTCTCGTTGTAATAAAAGTGTTTTTTATTTTATTTTTTATTTTGCACATAAATTTACAATGACATTGTCAAATCTCACAATGCCCAGCGACATTTCAGCAGCCGTCATGTTTATTTATATTGGATATTGTAGTTCCGGTCAGTGTTGTATTAATATGCTAAGAATTGTGTCTCGTGATGCATGGTAATTAAAGTCCCATTAACGATACAGTTTTCAAAGAGGCTATATAGTGACAATGTCATGCACATGTAAATATTATATCTTATCAAAATGTTTGATTTTTTATATTTGCTATCATGTACCCTTAAAATTGACCTTTTGTACAAAGTTTTATATTGATAATCGGTTGAACCTATAAAACAAACCGGTTCCTTATAACTATAGCCAATCGGTTGGTTTAAAAGTCGAGGCAATTTTCCTTATATGAAGGTGCGTTCTCTCGTTGTATAGTTTGTACTCATGGCCCCTTGTGGCAGTATTGTTCGTATTGCATGTGATGAAATTGATCACCTGAGGATTATATTTTCCTGTCATGATTTTAACAATTTCGATCATATCTCCTTTGACTCGTCCGTCAGCTTAGGTTGGAAATTAAAAAAGTTTACCCTTCTGAATGAGGCAAGTCTGCAATTCCCGGTATTAATTTAGTGGCTCTTTTTGGACGTTTTCAGCGGGTTCACACTTGGTTTCCATATTCTAAATGAGTTCCTTTGTAGAGCTTTGAATGTATTACCTTCAATATATTCCATCGTTTTTCTAATCTACCCCATAATTGAGTTTGTTTCATAATTTTCTTTCAGATATAGCATGAAATGAAATCAATAATTACACATAAGTCTTTTTCGTTATCTAGTAATATGACCTGTGAATCAGTTCATACTCGTATTATAGACGAGTTCACGATTGGCGACCTTACCATAAACCTTCATAATGTCACAGTAGAGCACATCAACGCATTTCCACCTCGTCAAGTAATTCCATGCATTCACCAATCACCTGTATAGATTGGTATACGTCAATCTGCCTTGAATATATCCGAATTGGATCTTACTGAAGAGCTTATTATTTTCCATGTGACTGATAATTGTCACCTGTACAATTGTTTCCAATTCTTTGCAGCAAATTCGTGTTACACAATAGTAGTCCGGTGGCTTAGCAAAATTTTTGTGACACGCTGGTCCAAAGCACCAAAATTGGTACAAATGCTCCTTAGATGATACAAAATCATTCTGCAGGTATGTGCCCGACCTACGACTTCCGGTTTAGGATTTTTCAAGATGGCCGCCACCACCATTATCAAAAATAACCTTATGCTGGGCCATCAAAGACTTTGCATCTAAAAAAGGTTGATTTCTGATAATGGAGAGGACATCTATTTTGGAATATGAGCAAATACGTCCAAATATAACATCAGCTACAATAAAAGTACTATCATCACATTCGTTGACCCTGAAATAGTGGGTAAAGACACTGGTTTTGACTAAGTATATGCTTTAGTTTCCAAGTTATAGTAAATAAGGTTATTTTTGATAATGGTGGTGGCGGCCATCTTGAAAAATCCTAAACCGGAAGTCGTAGGTCGGGCACATACCTGCAGAATGATTTTGTATTACCTAAGGAGCATTTGTACCAATTTTGGTGCTTTGGACCAGCGTGTATCGAAATCGTCAAAATTTGGGGCTAAGCCACTGGACTATGGATCTAGAGTTTGTCACTAATTTACGGTCACCTTTCTTGAAAATTGTCGCTCGCACAATTGTTTCCATTTCCTTGCAGCAAATGCGTGGTACGCTAATATATCTGGAGTTGCTCGTTAATTTACGGCCTCCCTTTAAATTCTGTAACATTTGCTTGCTTCCAATCCTCGAGTTTCGATTCTGTTGTTAGAGAAGTATAAATTTAATGGACAACAATTACCTTATGACGGAACTTAATTATTTTCACACTTGCAGGTGAGATGTTCTAGGCCTGGATATTTTTTTGTTCCAAGACAATGTTAAGTTGAGATCAATATTAGTATGCATGTTTTCATTCGAATCTTTTGTAAATATAAAAGTGATGAAGACATTTGCCAGCACCTCGGCATTTCCCTTGTCACTTCTGTCATTCATCTTACATGGTTCCATACTTATTCTAGGTATTTTTCACTGTCACTGTTTTGCAGAGATATGCTTGACCTTTATCGCAGAGTGGTCATAACAGGGCATGAATGTCAACTCCACTGACCATCCCTTAGGCAAGACAATGTCCAATACATTTTTGTGATTATTATGACCACTATTTGATATTCTCAGTAACATCTTCGACCTCGTGTATTGGCGAATGACTTCTTCTCATGATTTGTTTTGTCTAAAATATATAAGTTGTTTGTCATTCGATGCTGTAATTTGATTAGTATTACTGCTGCAATTACAGGTGTGACGAATAATTATCTAAACTACAGCTGCCTTTTAAACCCTTATAATAGTACACAAGAAAGCACATCAATAAATTCTAAATGCGCTGCTCTATGAATAATGACACAAAAGCGGAATTCACAGCTCAGTTCCCAGTGTAGTATGTCGCTTTAACATAAATTGACATTTGCCTATTTAACCTTACAATCTAAATCGATCACCTCTAAACCATTTACAAGTACATCATCTAGTGGTTCCTCTTAAGTGTGTTCGTGTGTAAAAGATGAACACTTTGATTTGTCGATTTGAGATTCAGACATGGTAAAGCGGTGATTTGTGATCGCCTCTGTCGCTCATATGACCATTGACACTACATCTAAGATCACTTACTGCATGGTTGAGGATATGTCAGGGTGCTATTAAATTTAAACAAATATTCTATCTATGAATAGTATGGCAAAACTATTTCAACAGTAGGAGGGTAGAGTAGGTGTAACGATTGCATTTTTACAATCTAATCTTTTACAGTATGTCAAAATTTACCAAGTACTGTTTATAGCGGAAAACGCAATCTGCTTTAAGAAAATTGTACATAATAAAGTCTTGAGTCTGCATCGTCATAGTGATCAGGGGATTTAATTTTTCCTCATAACGGATCAAAGTATAGTGTGATTAAGGAAAAACAAAGATTATTCTGGAAAAGTACTGAATTAATTTTCACCCAATTAGGTATTGAGCATCACCAGTGCTAATGCAGTATGTCATAATTTAACACGCAATTTCTTTTAAACAAAGTGTACATAATAAAGTCTTTTAAAATTAGGGATGCATCGTCATAGAGATCAGGGGATTTAAGTGTAATAGTGTGATACAGGGGAAAAAAAAGATTATTCTGGAAAAGAACTGAATTCATTTTCACCCGATTAGGTATTAAGCAGAATTAAGGGTTTATCAAACACAAGGTTCATCTTAAGATGTGGACATGGCAACGCATAGCTATTTATTTAGTGGTTAGAAAAAACCCTAAGCAAAACTAGAATTTCTGACTTCCTGTGAGGTTCCGAACAATTAGAGGCATTTTATGTTCTGCAGGGGTAAATAATTAGGACCATAAGTATATCCTTACAACAATTGCAATTGGCATAGGCATAGTATTATTGCGGAAGTTTATCAATTATACAAAGGTCCAGGTAATTATCGATCAGATGTAAAACATATTCCAAAATGCATTTTTTTATAAGCTGCCTACCAAAGCCCCATAGATTGGTTTACGTTTTAATATTATGAATTTCTTCTATATTGAAATAATTTAATCTTGCTGGTAACAAGCATTTTGATTGGCTTAAAAAAATATGTGATCAGCCCATAACGTAAAAAATGCGGTCGCCGTTTGTAACGTCACTTTTGATTGGCTGATACAGCGGCGTAACAATTTCTAAGAGAAAAGAGTCCATCAATAAAAGTGGATTTCCACAGGGAATGTGTAAAGTAGATTAAATTATAAGGATTAACTTGCATATATTTTTTATGTTATGGACCTATAACAAAAAAATAGTGTACTCTCATCATAAATCGCTTTGCGGTTTATTTAGAGTACACTCCGTTTTTTGTGTTATATCTCCATAACATAAAAAATATATTCAAGTTAATCCTTAAACAAATTGGTATGTAAAAACGTATAACTATGATTTTACAAATGTGATATGAATGCTGAGTTATTTTGTTTTATATATTGTGACAGGAAAACAGTCAAGGATCAATCTACAACCTTCAGAACACACAGCGTTAATTGATTTGGAATTTCCTGTGTGTCAGAATATAACAGCAACATTGAAATGACGAACATCTCTTATATGTCTCGCAAAACATTGAATCGCGAAAGGACTTCTTAAATATCCTAGTTTCATCAGTGTCTCTTCAGATACAATCATGGTTTTTCTGTGTTTCTTTTTTAATTTGTATTTGGTCAGCCCTGAATAAAATGGCAGACCGTCGAGGTCGTCCTAACACAAGGTTGACGTCGCAAAATGACGTTAATAACCCAGTAAACTGGTCGAAAACCGAGATTCAAAGGAAACTACAAAAGCTAGGCATAGTGGTGCCTACTAGCATTAGTAAACCTGAGTTGATTAAAATTTACCAGATGAACAAGAACGTTGTCAGACCTGCAGAACACACAACTATAACCACAAAAACTGAATCTGTGCCAAAGGTAAAAAAGTTGACAGGGCAGAAGGGTCAGCATTATTTTTCTGGTGCGGATGGCGCTCGTGGGACGCCTGAACAGAGTGAGCACACTGTAGTCGGGCCAAGAGGCATTGAGGCGTGCTCGTCTTCATCTTCTATGGATCGCATCAAGACTGCAGGCACACTACAACGACGTAGAACAGGAACAAGAGGTAGCACCGTCTTAGCAACGTCGACGATACCAACGCCATATTTATACAACAGGATGCAACCAGCGGTGAAGACGGCCAGATACACGGACAGCAATGCAAAAGGTACGTACTCTTCTGATTGGGTTTGCATATCATTATTGAATAAGTGGAACCAGCATTTTGTAGATATACTTAATATGATTTTAAACTTCCCTTATAGGATTTTAAAACAGGTAAAGGCTCATTTGAAGTTGATGATACCTTAATGTAGAGTCGTGTGGACGAAATGTTTTTAGAAATAACCATGGAAATGATACATTAGCATTCACTGACTATTATTAAAAACTTTTTGAATTTTAAATATGTTGTCTAGTTAATTTACAGTTTGATAAACCATACACCACACAATATAGAACTGACAGTTCATGATTTCTAACCGATTAATTTCATGTAACTAAAAGTAAGATGTACACTACATCTCCAGCACTCACGCATGCATACACTCATAGGGAGACAATAGACAGGTGACATATGACTAATAGTTAGCGTCTGATGAGGTAGCTCCTGCAAATTCCTCAGAATTATTTTTGAGGAATTTGTACTACTTACTGTAATAAGAGAGAGCGCTAAATCAAATTTTGTGAATTGATTTATAAAAAGTGATATGGATGGTCAAACTTCATTATGAACAAACAAGACATGTTTTGTTCTAAGAGCTCCATCATCAGATGATGGTGCTTTAAAAACGAATCCCCAGCAGGTTTGGGCGGAGAATATGCCTGCGAGGTCTCACTTAACGTTATCGTAAGAGGCGAAAAATATGAGTCCCTGGGCAATTGTGAGTTTTCTCGTATAAAAAATATACGTCCATTACTTCTTGAAAGATAACCATAACGCATATAGTTTAGGGTCTCACGCCGTATTACAGAAGAGGTCAATTAAATTTATATTGGTTTTAGACTTAACGTCCTCGGACAAGCTATAACATATGAAAAACTCCGTAGGAAGACGCCGCCGGACAAAAACCAGACGTTAAATCAATAAACAAATAAATTTTAATTGACCTCTTCTGTAATACGTCGTTAGACCCTAAACTATTTGTGTTATGGTTACCTTTCAGGAAGTAATGGACGTATATTTTTATAACTGAGATTCGGGATATGCTTATATATCAAGACACACATATCGTGTGTAACAGGAGGTCAATCTTCAGATATATTTTTTAATAACAAATCAAATACTAGATGGACGGATACAGTATAAAGGATACATACTAAGCACCCACCTTACACAAACGCCCCCCCCCCCCCACACACACAAACACACCCATTTTGTATATATGTTTTAATAGTTAGGAAAATATGTATGACGTATTTTTTCTACAAAGTCATTCTGACGCCTGTCAATCGACCTATTTCTATTGGTAACCTTAACTAGGACATTCTTAATTAACAAAACATTTTTCGTTCTTCTTGACAGAGTTTCAACAAATATGGTTGAAATTTCCTTGCGTTTAGAAAAAATAATAGGTTTTAGAATAATTATCTACGTAATCATACAATTTCTGGGTAAAGGATCTACTAATCTTTGGTTGATAAAGCGTTTTATGGTATCTCCATTGACTGTACATGTTTTTGTAGGCCAATATATTGTTAAAGTCAGTATTATTGAGAATATACTTCATAAAATTCAACCATTTTAATTCCGCATGACCATTCTGTTGAGGTTGAAACATCAGAAAATATATAGTACTTGATAATGTGTTATCTGTTTTATTTCTATTTCCTATGGGTAGCGACCAAGCTCTCAATATAGTTTATAATACTATTCCTTACATGAAATATCTTTTTGCAGAATTAACATGAGTTTGTTCAACAATACCCTAGCATACATAATACTGGATGATACGATTGAAAGGAATAGGTTGTGTTGCAAATCATTTGGTAAAGGAACAATCTAATTTGCTTGTAAAGTGCATATAAAGCTTGTTTGCTTGTTCAGACATTTTATTCTGCATTTGTTAAATTTACCATTGTAATTGAATAATATAAGGTAAGAGTAAGACTCGTCTACCTTAAAATTTTCATTGTTAAAAGAAATATTATAAAATGTTTTACTTTTATTTTTCTCAAAGATTACAACTTCAGTTATTTAAAGTTTACATGAAGTTTCCATGTTTCGCAGTAATTTTAGCAAGAGTTAACAGTTAAGAGCATGTGTAGACCAAATCTGGTTGCAGGCATCAACACATATTTGTCAACTTACAGTATTATAAACAGTTTTAAATAAGCTTCAATTTGCAACGGACAAGCTGTTTCAATTTCTTGTAAAGAGTTAATGTCGTGTTATATAAAACGGGATAACTTGTCACCTGTTTGCATCACAACATTGCAAATGAAAACATCAGCCTTTTTTCCATTTTAAATGCACGTCTTGGTATTTAAGTTTTGATTGCACTATGAATACTTTTCCGCATTCATTGTTTTAGATTATTTTTATCCACAATCCTACTCGCAAAACTATGTGGAAAGCTTTTCTGAAATCACTAAATGAACAGTATATTTTCTTATGAAAATGTAAAGAAATTAAATGATGTATTATGAAGATGTTTTCATTTGTTTAATGACCGTTTCTTAACCAAACTTGCACATTAGATACACGGTTGGTTTCATCAGCTTATTTATTTAGTCTTTCGTGAATTATAACCATCAATAGTGTCCAAAGATATATATAAAAAAAAAATGTAATAGCTATGTAAGTGTCTGGATCTCTCGCGTCGCCATTGGTTTTGTAAAAAGGTTTTATTACACCTACTGTCAAGGATTCCGGAACTATACCGGTGTTTAAAATTGTGTTAAACAAGTTTGTGTATGTATAGAGGGCAAAACAAATTGTTAGTATATTTAATATTCTCATTTTAAATTGCATCAGGTCCACTTCATTTTTTAAAACTTTTCAACAAAAGGAGATTTTTGATTTCCTCCTCTAGTATCGTGTCAGCTTAAATTATACCATATTGATTTCTTCTATAACGGGGAGTACACACTTATCTTTGTCATTGTATCTGCTGAGGGTCAGGGTGTCATACGTAGTGTCGCAAAAACTTGTAACCATCAAGTAAACTATGGACTCACCAAAGTATTCTATTTGTAGGGTTGAAATCATATCTTTTAATGCTTCTGTGCCATGTTTGTTATGTGAAGACCTGTCCAGACCGAAGCCTTAGTTTTGGTTAGTTTATTTATAGGGTTTTACGTCCTATCAACAGCATAAGTCCTTTAAGGACGTGCTTACATGTGTGTTGTGTAAGCGTGCATTTGCTCGTGTATTTGCCTCCTTGTGATAGCGCGGACCTGATAACGATTTTTTAGTGCTTTCTAACTGAAATACCATGTCCAAGATATACCCAGCACAGCATTCCGCCTGCTCACATTATACTGACAACGTGTGAACCAGCTGTTGCAATTACCTTTAATGCTGACCGTTTAAACAGGGAATAACAACTATCATTTTAAGGACATTGGTATATCCCGCCCTTTGGAAAGAACCCATTGCCTTCTGCACTGGGGCGAACGCTCAACATTAAAACCAAAGGTGAGGTATTGCTTATCAATACGCTATGAAATAAAAGCAATTTGAAATAGTAAGAAATATAAAGTTCCCAAATATTGCACGAGACATGCAGTGGGTAACAGCAGGTATATTCACTGTGTTCTCCGACCTGCAGAGGGGCAAGAGATTTTGACTTGATTTTGACAAATATCTGCAGATCTTCGGATACTCCGTTTCTTTCTGACTTTTTACGCAAGCATGGTTGTGCAAATTACTCATCATCCCAATGTGGGCTGCTAAAAGAACATTAAGACAGACTCGTGTTATGTAATTTAGTGTTAGCTTGCATAACTGTTTTAAACATACCGATTTGCATCAAATGACCTGACGTAAACGCACATAATATTTCTGAATTTAACACGTTCTATTTTTGTGCCATATTTCATGGAATACTTGTGCATATATTATATAGCAATCAGGCGTCTGTGCGCGTGAGAGTCAGATAATTAATTAGTTTCCAATCGACTGGCTTATCCCCAACGCTCGTCTGCGTTGGGTGATTGGCCCCCTCCGACCTTTCCCAGATGAGGTCGTGGATGGGCTTTTAATACTTTGCAAACGTCTGGAGTACTCTTATGGAGTGAATAATACCGCACTATGCTGGATACAGTCTTGTTTGAGTAAACGACGACAATGTGCTGCCATCGGATCTACCACCTCACATAACAAAATACTAAATTTCGGGGTTCCTTAAGGGTCGGTGTTAGGACCAGGACAATATTGCCTATATGCCAACCGATCGGAAAGATCTGTCGTCGCCATAGTCTTCGCTATCATTGATATGCTGATGACACACACACTTACATGGTCATCAAACCACAGAACAGTTGGGATACGATAACAGAAATTATTGAAGCTTGTCTTACAGACATCAGTACCTGGATGAGCGCCAACATGCTAAAGCTTAATCAGGAAAAGACGGAACTAGTCGTCTTTCCCCCAAAGTGTCAGCGAACGATCACTCTCGAGCTCAAGGTCGGTGCCAAAACTATTGAGACTGTCCCACCTGTTATAAATCCAGGGGTATACTTTGATAGTTCATTACACATGGAGAAACAATGGAACGTTATTACCAAATCCTGTTACTACCATATCAAAAGCATCGGCTCTAAAAAAAGATGCATGCGAGATTTTGGTGCATTCACTTGTTACCTCTCGGTTGGATTATGGTAACGCCCTGCTCTGTGGTATATCTGACAAACTAAATACTCGTCTGCAGAGGGTCGAGAACACTGCAGCACGTCTGTTGTTCGTACTTGAATGGGAGAGTACATCACAACTGCGCTATATTCATTCCACTGGTTACCTGTACGATACAGGTCGCAGTATAAAATTATGATGTACACATACAAGGCGCTAGATTGAGCAGCTCCCCAGTACCTACAGAAACTTGCTACCCTGTATCAGCCGGTCTGAGACAGAATCATTGTTGTGTGTCCAGAAATCTCGTAGTGACCTATGGAAACCGGTGTTTTGGGAAGCTTTCCGCCACGTTGTGGAATAGATCACCACCTGATATAAGAAAGTCAAATACCCTGGCCAAATTTAAGAAAGACATAAAAACTCACCTCTTCAAGTTTTCATTTTAGGCTCTTTGCGCACACGTCATGTAGATACCACCCTTTATTTGTTAATGTATGTGCACATCGAGATGATTATTTTCTTGCTTGATGTATAATGGTGAATGTAAGCCTTTTCTATTTAACCAAATCTATTATCCAAATGTTGTAAAGCGCCTTAGAGTAATTTTTGATATTATATAGGCGCTATATAGTTGTTGTATATTAACATTGTTCATCCCTTTCACCTGAGCGGCGCCTGTAGCCCGCGCAGGGTTTCAAATACTTTATCATCTGGTTGGTTCACCAGACTTTGCAAAGATTCTTGACATTTAGCAGACGTGTAAGTGAATGCAATGAACGATAACTCTTGGTAGAGATTGGGCTTACCATTAATCTGTAAAATAAGCGGAACGATTTCGACTTTTCGATCATGAATGTTCCCTTTCTCGACAGAAGCATCCCGACTTTCCCTACCTCCTGTGATTATAAGTAATAATTGATTTGGTGTTCAAAAGCTTCCTCCTAATATCATCACTTCTGTGATAGATGTCGACTGCTGACGAAAAAAACTAGCAATAAAGGGTTTCAAATGTCGCAGTCTGATAAGGACTATGGGGAAGTTTTATACATGTAGTTGCGCAATCATGATCCTACAGGGACATATGCAGTTTTTTAGTGTGATCGTTCTTTGCTCTTACTTTGTCCTAGTTTTAACAGCTCATGGTTGCTAGCGGTAGTGACAAGTCATGTACTACCCTAGAAATTATCCCTCCTGCTACCCATTCTGCCTCTTGTGTCAGTATCAACCACCGGTACGAATCGAAAACAACGTAGAACCATGTGGTCCCATTTTAGTCGAACAGACAACTACCATATCAAATTGTTTCGTCCTTTCAAGCCACGTCTGATTTCCTGTCTAATTCAACAATCAATTACTGCAGCCTCACATTCCAGAAGATGTAGAACCTCGAAATTATGCGGCTCTCAACTTCGAAAAAGGATGGCTGCCGTAGACTCACAGTTGAGCCTGCGCACCGCGTCTAGTCATTGTTCTTCCGCAATGACACGTCAGAACATTTGATATTTTTACGAATTTATCAACAAAAATTAAAACTGATATTTAAAATGTGGTGTTGTGTATCGTTTTACATAAATTGACTGTATTGAACTACAACGTAAACCATCATGTTGTATGATGATCCTTTAATAACGGATTGTATTTTTTTACATAACGTCAATACGTAGTCTTGCACCAGCTCCAGAACCTGAGACAAACGATCAGAATGGACTTCACAAGTTCCAACTATTAAAAAAAACCACGTTGATTGAATTATATAAGGTTTGAATTCTTAAATGTAAAAGATACAATTTAAAAAAAATCTCGAATTAAGCATATAAGCCAACCAACACTCGTTTGGAACTTCTATATAATTAACCTTTCTGAAGACATGTTGAACCAAAAGAATGAAAGATTTGTTTTAATTATATATATACTTCAAATGTGAATTTTCAGATTCGCCTACTGTCAAAATACCTGAAAAAAACTACACTGCCATAATCGGAGAACAAGTGAAGCTGGAGTGTTCTATATCTGAAACTCCGTCGATTACAACAGTTTCCTGGCATCGTATTTTACCCGAGGGTCGAACCGTAAAACTGGATATTGACGAGATAAAATATGCAGGATCAAATCCGAATGACCCACACTTAGTAATCGACGACATCAAGAAAGATGACGAAGGCGACTATGTTTGTACCGTCTCAAACGTGTATGGGAAAAGGCAGAGTGCACCTACTAGTAAGCTGAAAGTAAAAGGAGGTAAAAGCTTAAATTTGACATTGTATTCTTATTACGACAAATGCGTATTAAAGTAAACTATTTTTCCCGAATGATTTCCAAAACTTTCTCTGCTATTCTCATACACAAAGAACTCAGAAGTAGAACCACTAGTAATAACAGCTTTCTACTCTCAATCTAAGTTCCGAAACAAAAAAATAATGTTACTGACGCTTTGTTTTGTTTCATGATAAATGCATTAATGTTGGTTTTTAATTAACCCTAGGTCCTCCAACACTAAATATGAACTTGACAGAGAACCATAAAACTGAAGGAGAGGCTGCTGTTTTAAAATGCTATATCTATGCGAAACCACAAGCATCTGCTATAACATGGTCCAAAGATGAAGAAGGAAGTGGACGTGAAATTGCAATTGACAATATTAAATACTTTGGTGGTACAGTGGATTCTCCCGCGCTGGTAATAGAACGAACTGAAAAACTGAATGACGAGGGTAAATATATTTGTGAAGCAGACAATATTGCAGGATCTGGAAGCAATTCTGTGCTCTTGACAATAAATAGTAAAACTGCAAATACCGTAACAAGTAAGTAAATTATTTTTTATTCTAAACACTGATAAGGTTGTCAAAACACTGCGTCATTTTACGGAAGAGCATTGTAAATGTTATTTATTATATTAATAATAATGTAAATATGCATTTATCCCCAGAGTCTGTATTCGATAAAATGTACATGTATATAAAGTGTTTATAAATTGTTCTTTTCAGTTGCTGACGCAACAACTCTAAACCAAGACATTTCTGAAGCACAACAGGAAAAGATTAAAACTTGTCATTCAGAGATGGTGATCAAGTTAGCTGAGAATATCTTTCCAGCTGCTGAGTGTTGGCCAGCTTTTAAACAATCTATGTCTACATATTTAAATCGGGTAGACCTTGAAAACGAAAACCTTTACAAATACGTGGACAAACTTCTAGTTATGGAGCACATTCATCTCGGCCAATATGACAGATTATATGACGTTGTTCACAAAATACATAAACAGGCCTCCCACATTATTAAAAATGCGGAATCAGAAATTCAGAAAATAAAAAAAGGAGGTAAGCATCATTTTATTAGCTCACCTGGTCCAAAGGACCAAGGGGACTCAATTTGTATAAACGGTGGGTGTGGACCCCCTGGGGGCTAACGGGTGGGCCCAATAGGGGAAATATAGGATTTTTTTTAATCCTTCTACTTCTTTATGAATGAAAGGGTTTGTTCCATATTTGGTGTGACGCATCCTTGGGTGAAGGGGAACCAATTTTGTATAAACCATGGGTCTAGCCCTCCAGGGACCTAAAGGACGGGGCCCAATAGGGGAAACATAGCAAATTACTCTTTAAAATCCTTCTTCTTCTGTAGGAATACTAGGATTTGGTCCATATTTGGTGTGGAGCATCCTTGGGTATAGGGGAACCAATTTTGTATAAACAGTTGGGGTATAGCCCTTCTGGGGGCTTAGAGGCTGGCCCAATAGGGGAAATATAGCAAATTCTTTAAAATCCTTCTTCTTCTGTAGGAATGAAAGGATTTGGTCTATATTTGGTGTGGAGCATCCTTGGGTAAACAGGACTCAATTTTGTATAAACGGTGGGTATGACCCCCGACCCCCCCCCCATCCCACCCCCTAGGGGAATAGGGGTGGGGCTCTGTTTGAAGTTTGTTCTCGCTATATCTCAAGTATTGGATGGATCTTTCTGAAATTTCATATGTACTTACAGCACCTACCATGGAGTGCTATATCTTTACTTCATACCAAATATTTTAAACATAGTCAGGTGAGCGAAACAGGCCCTCTGTTTAATTAAGATATCAAAATATTTTCAATTAAACTGATAGCAAATAAAATATCGTCTATCGTTGATTTAGTTTTCTCGAGAACTGAAATGTGGTTTGTGTTAACGTTGTTGTGAGTACAAGAAGGTAAGACTGTTATCATTAATCAGAAAATATTTATGGTTTAGGGAGGCAAAAGGAAACAGCTGTCCAAGTCGAATGCAAGTTAGAGGGTGATTTCGAAAAAGATAAAAAAATACCAGAAAGATGTACGTCTCAAGTCAAAGAGCAGTGCCCAGAGATGAAAGACAGAATAACAGGATTAGGTGGTTCAGGTAATATGACCGCCATAATTCTTAAAAAAATAAATTGACATATGTAACAATAGGAAAATCTGTCCCGTTATCGTTTTAGTTATCACGTTTTAGTTTCCATGCAATTAACTGGTCTAAAATAGTCTGATATCAGTGAAATTTTGTATGCACATATATATTAACATGTTTGAGTCTGAGTTCCTTACATTTCTTACATACTTATTAACAAATACGGGTTTTTGTATATGCGATACGACACAATTGTTCTTACCAATATCAGCCCTCGCCATATCACACCCCAAAAGCCGTATCAGCACCCGCCGTATCACACCCCAAAACCCGTCTCAGCCCGCAAAACCCGTACCACACCCCACAACCTGTATCAGTCCGCAAAACCCGCATCACACCTCGTTTGGATTTCTTTTTCGTTTTTCAATATTTCAAAAGAAAAATAGATTATAAGGTAGTAGCTTTTATTAGTAAGTATGTAATAAACAGAATAAAACATGCCTTTTTCCTTATCACACCCAGTATCAACCCTCGACAAATATCAGCCCTCGGGCCTTCGGCCCTTGTGCTGATATTGCAGTCTCGGATTGATACTGGGTGTGATATGGAAAAAGGCATGTATTATTCTCTATATAACGCATATTTTATGAGGTAACAAATTTGTGAGTGTCTTATTGTTTTCTCTGCAAAAATTGCCCTTATAAAAGGTTAGTTACAGTGAAATCTGGTATGCACATTCATATCAACACATTCCATCAACACCCTTGCTACATTAATTGGTACAAAACAGATTTCCATGTTCCAAATATCTCATATCTGCTTAGCCATAGTTAGAAGGTCATTGCCCGACATTGAATGAATACCAACATACACATCCGCTACTCTCGCAGCATAAACGAACGATACACGCTTAAATGTTTCTGTTTGCTTCCCTTCCAAATAGTACTTTGACAAAAAAATCACTGATATTGGTCTGCTGTTCGCATGCTTTTCTCAGTGTATGAGACTGACATACGCTATCAGATTAAGTGGACAAAATATCTGTTTCACAGCGTACATTTATGCCATTTCATCCCTTACTTGTAATACTTATGCCNGAATAGAGGTAACTATTTCTAAATGTTTCTTACTCTCATCAAATCGAGGAATTTTGACCAAATTTTGTTCATGAGCACCCTTGGACAAAGGAGTCTCAATTTTTAATTAAACGGAGATTGTGACACCACAGGAAGTAAAGGGGCGGGGCCCAAAAGAGAAAAAGAAAATCTTTCTCCTATTAAGAAGTAAAAGTTTTAAACGTTTTCTCCTTTTGTTTGAATAAACAGATTACCACCAAATGTGTTATAGATCATCTGTAGGCAAATGGGACGTCGCTATAGCGAACCTTTTTGTGACGTCAGAATTTATGACGTCATAAGAGAATCTCCTTGATGAGATGAAAGCGCTAAAGACGTGTTAGGATTTTTCTTTATATATTATTTCTTCATTCCTAAGGATGATTAGCAGCTGTTATAATAGCGTTCCTTTGTTTATAATATACTTTTTTGGACTACTCCCGATTGTCTGCTGGTGGTAACGTTACTACGGTGTGTATTGTATTATATCATAATGCACGTCCGCTCTATTGTTACATTGGTCGATTGTACCTTCAAAATAAATTAATTCTGCTGAACAGCAAAGGGCTAGAGAAAAAGTTTTCTTGTGAATTTGTATATTTGTGCCTTACGGACTTCAATTCAAATTTTGTATTTAATGTTTTGATTTGCAGATACCCAGACTTAAATTACATATTTTACACTTACACTTCAGGATGTATTTACCTAAAGTTTACAATCAGCGAGGCGAAGACGCCACACCAACTGTCTGCATTGCACCTGGCGGTGACGCTGAAGACAAGACTAGAAAACGGACAGATTGTACTGAAGGATGAGGCAGACGTATCTCTAGTATTTAAGACTTCACCGAGAGTAATGATACCAACGGAGAATCCCACAGGTTTGTGGATTTGTTTGATGGCAGTTAATTTGCCTTAGATGTGCAGAGTTGCCAGGAAAGCCAGACATGGAACAGTTAGGCCGTATTCAATCAGAATTGAAACGAATCGCATATGTGATATACAATTTATCATCTATACATCATTTAAATCCAGCAATACATGACCTCTGATAATGTATCAAATTATAACATACATGATTAGCAGATCGTTTTAGAAAATTACGTTTGTACAAGAATGCTTAACGATGCAATCATCCGTCTTGTCTTCAATAATCTGTTAAGACAACTCTGGTTGAATGTTACACATTTAAGCAATGATGTCGATCAAAAGATGCGGATAATTATAAATTAACATGACGTCGTTTTAATTGAAATGCCTTTTAGAGGAAATAGTATAATTGTTTATATGATCAATCATATCGATTGAAGATTCTCTTCATACAGTAGGTATGTAACTTGCATCATTGCATCCAAATAACCATGGTAACGCTTAAAATACAGTTCAATCCCTAGATAGTGTGACCCTGAAAAAGATACCAGTTTGACTAGTCTAAATAAAAGAAATAAATGAAACTGTCTTTTAAGATTTACTCAATGAATATCTGTTGCAGAAACTATTTATGTATTATAAATAAAACAAAACTCGCACTTTCGTTAAATAATATTCTTTTTTTGTCAAACTTTCTATTCGTAGCTGAACTGGCGTTAAATAAATGTTATGATATGTTGTCAGTCTTTTTGATTAGGTTGTTTAATGGTGTTTTGAAATATGAATTATCATGTGGTTGAAAGTAACAATGTATAAACCATTTTTAGGGACTTCTCTTTTTGTCCGGACATAGCAAGTTTTTTTGCAAAGTTTTGGATGCGAGTACCTCTTTGTATGACAGTGTCTCTGATTGAATTCTGGTCTTGGGCACCACATCTAATATGCTTTGTCACATATATAATGCCAGGACGTCGATGGATGCAGAATGAAGTCCATAATATAGAAAAATGGCCCGTTAATAATATTTTATGGAGGAGGTTTGCTATTTAATCTTTGTGTGACACGCTGAATTAGATATAGTGAGATATTCCTTATTCTATTTTTTCAGTCTGAATAACAATACCTTAACGGCTTCATCTTTTCCCTGTAAATGGAATAAAGATCGATCGCAATATTTTGATTTTTCAAACATAATTTCCAACACCATTTAATGACAGATGAGTTATAAAGTCATACGGACCTGTTTTTTTATTATAGATATGCCAACATTACGTTTAAGTAGAGGACACTACAACTTTACTGAAGGAAAAGTGGCCATTTTGAAATGTGTTGTGGTCGTCACAGAGGAAACCGAATCTATCCAGTGGATCAGGGTAAAGGATGGAAAGTGTCACGCTATTCGTAATGACAACGAAAAGTATTTTGGTGGGTCACCGAAATCTCCATCACTTGCTATCGCTGATGTAAAGAAATCTGACAGAGGAATATATTTATGTAGGGCAAGGAATAGAGCAGATGAAGTGGAAAGTGATTTTGCTTTTGTCGAAATCAATTGTATTGGTGAGTTAGAAATTTGATAATTTCTTCCTAATGCATATATGCGTAAGTGAAATGATAACCTGTGAAAACATACGATGTCTGTGTTTTGTAAACGGTTCAATATTTAATCGAATGTTTGAAGGAACAGAAACTGTATTATATGCATTTCACTTAATTTACTTTACCGAGACATATCCAATTTCTTGTTAGATCGTTTAAAAACCTCAAGTCGGTCTTATTTGTTACACCATTACTTGGCAGTTTCGTATGTAAACGCCGAAAACCTTCTGGATCAGAAAACAACATTATCCTTCTATATTTCTCGCACATCGATATCGCTTCTGACTTTGTTTGTCTAAAATTATATCTATTTCGACAATGTAGTCTTCATTTTTTATACCAATAGATGCATGCAGTATACGGAAGGAGATTTTGAGTGCTGTGAATGAGGAAGAATCAAGTATTGGTCGGAAAGATAACTCTGACATGAGAGGTATGCCCTAAGACTATGTCGTTCGTAATCACTGTTATATATGGAAGGAACATAGCAGACACTTTGTTATACCCCTTCACTTAGTCAGGTGGTTTATAGAAGTATAGTCTGTAGTACAAAACCTATGGACAAGATATCTCAGGAACCCTCTGCAGATTTAGTTGATAATTACACCATGATAGAGTAATATCAAGTTCTACACCTTATTGGATTATGATGGTCGTCGTTGAATATTAAAGGGTCAAATCACGGTCAAAGATCACTCTTAACTACTTTTAAAGTAGAGGCTTGTGCACAAGAAATCTCAGAAATCCAACAAAAAATCTTCTGAAACAGAGTGTATCGTTAAGGTAAGGTTTACATGCTCCCCTGATTTTAAATTGAATATATTGCAATTGTGTGATATAACGATTTGCTAAGGAAGGAAACATATTTCAGTAGAAAAGTTCAAATTTGTGTTATTTGATAGTTTTATCATAATCAAAATATGAAGCTATTTTTCATAAATTGATATGTGTGCATAAAAATTAAGAAAGTAACGTGCTATGAATGGTATAAATCATTGTTTTCTATTTATTTGCAATGAATGTTTGAAAAAAAATGTACGTACTAGAAATGTTAGAAATAATTGTTTACTATTCATTTACAATAAATTGTAGCATCGGTTAGTTCAGAATTGCAGAAAAACTGCATAAAACACAAGTCTTTTAGCTCACCTACCCGAAGGGCAAGTGAGTTAATGCCATGGCGTTACGTCCGTCCGTCTGTCCGTATAATTATTTTTTTCCGGACAACTCCTTCTACAGTAATGAACTGATTTCAAAGAAAGTTTCCAGATATGTTAACTACCACCCGAAGTTGTGCATCGCGGTATTTACATTCCTACCCTTTTATGTTATGACCCTTTGTTGAAAAATCCTTGTCCGGACACCTCCTCCAAAACTGCTGGGCAAATTTGAACGATGTTAAGCTCAACTGGTCTGAAGGACCATGATGAGTTGATGCCATACCGCAGCGTCCGTCGTCCGTCCGTCAACTTTTCCTTTAAAACGCTGAACGGCTAAGTCGATTTTAACTGGAGCATCCTTAGGCAAAGGGGATTCAATTTTGTATAAACGGTGGGTGTGGCCCCCCGGGGGGCAGAGGGGCGGGGCCCAATAGGGGAAATAGAGGTAAAACCTTTAAAATCCTTCTTCTTCCGTATGGAATAAGGCATTTTGTCCCAATTTAGTCTGGAGCATCCTTGGGCAAAATTAACTCAATTTTGTATAAACAGTGAGTGTAAAGCGAGGTGGCTGAGGAGCGGGGCCCAATAGGAGAAACATAGCAAATTCTTCAAAATCCTTCTCGACAGGATTTTGTCCAAATTTGGTATGAAGTATTCTTTGATGACGGGGAACCAATTTTATATAAACGGTGGGTCTGACCCCCTGGGGGCAGAGAGGCGGGGTCCAATAAGAGATATAGAGGAATAATTTTAATTTCCTTCTTCTTCCGTTGGGATGAAGGCATTTTGATCAAATTTGAACAGGAGCATCCTATTGGGATGGAAAATCAATTTTGTATAAATGGTGGGTTTGGACCTTCTGGGGCCAGAAGGGTGGGGCCCAATATGGGAAGCATAGCAAATTCTTCAAAATCCTTCTTCTTCTGTAGAAATGACAAGATTATGTCCATATTTAGTCTCAAGCATCCTTGGGTTAAGGGGACCTAATTTAGTATCAACGATGGGTCTGACCACCCTGGGGGCAGAGGGGTGGGGCCAAATAGGGGAAAAATAGCAAGTTCTGCGAAATCCTACTTTTATTTTAGGAATGACAAAATTTTGCATATAAATATAACCCCTGAATAATACATGTACACTTCTAGTAGTATCATGCTATTCTAACTTCAATTTTGCTAACATTTCCAGGTGAGCGATACAGGCACTATGGGCCTCTTGTTTTTATATATGATAACTATCAACTGATGTTGTGCATCCGGGTATAGTGGGCCATGGTATTTTAGAAAAAACTTTACAGATATGATAGTTATCCCCCGCCCCCCACCCCCTCCCCACCCCCACCCCGATTACCAATTTCAGGAATTATATCTGGATATCGGTGTATCTGTAATGGTGGAATGTCAAATACAAAAAGTGTGTCACTGTGACCTTTGACCTCGGCTTCTTAAAACGTTTTTTGGGCATATCTTATGCTGGTAATTTCAACAATCTTATAAAAGATCTTCTGAGATCAATTGTATCTTAAATAATGTAGCTAAAAGTTTCTGACTGCTATCTTGGATCTCCACATAATGTCCTGTTTAACAGTCTAATGTCCATTCCCTGAAGGTCAAAATTCAAAAACATCTGAAAATAGCCCATCAGCATTCTTGTTATTGATTTTCGTTCAGCAAAAATAGTAACAAGGCAGTACACAATGATAACGTTGATGCATAATATTTCTGTAAAATTGAACCTCCATTTCTCATGTTTGTCAGGATTTCGGTAGCCTTATACTTGTTATGTCTATTCTATGGTTGTTTTTCATTGCATACATCTAGATGATGGCATTACCATGGAGGAGGAAATTAAATCAATGAAGGAGGATATCCGTACAATGAAACAGGATATTGCCACTATTAGGCAGATTGTCAGTGCTGTGAAGACAGAATCTACGACTGATCATGATACCGACACGAGTAGCAAAGGTACGATTCAATCTATGCTATTGTGACTAGATGGTGTGTTGTGTAACATTATCATAATAATACCCTACAGTTCAAGGTCAGGGTAAAGAGTATTCATTTATTGTAATAGTTATCTGGACTAAATCTTCGAAAAAGCTGAACCTTTAGTATTCATATATCTCGCATATATCTTTATCATGGCTAAACGGTTGACTGCGAAAAACTCTATTTGACTAACGTAAAGTTTAAGGTCAGATGACGGAGTCGAATGCTAGATCATTTCAACGCTTCTTTATATTATATATCTAAATTTCAAATTATTTTCTAATGTCAATTTTGTTTAATAAAATACATTTGTTTTACCTCTAGATGTAGTCAGTCCGATGGAGGTGGATGTTAGTAGAGTGAAGAAGGAATTTGGTTTTGATTTGGATACACGCCCGGGTATTAGAGGTAAGCTCAAACCTATTTCATCATTCTGATTTACCTACGAAGTAAGAAATATACTTGACACAAGTTTTATCCGTTCGTTGGACAGCCCGTTAACACCTTGTCGGGGCCATATCTTCTGAATTACTGGTAATGTGACATAAATAGGCAATAAATGGCGTCAAAACTTTGACTTTGTACTAGTAAGATAAATTTTGATGCAACAGATCAAAAATGCCCAATCATCAAAACGCTTTTCCGGATTGCTACGTCTGATCCGTTAAACTTTTTTCAAATGAAAAAAAGAGCGAAAGTGTATCGTAACACTCTGAAAGTGTTCTCTATAGGCGTAGGTAAAACAACAAAAAAGTCCAAGATAAAATTTTATACTGCAGTTATAAACCATAAAAGAACCAATTGTGATACAATGGGGTGTTACACTGCACATTCAGGTTCACATCTAACGCTTGCTCCAATTATGTATATCGGCTGATGACAGACAACAAGGAGTTTCTTGTGATGAAATCTGATGACGATTGTGGACAAGTTTTAATGTTGCCCATCATTACGTCTATGTGAAGTAACTACTTCCCTGTGTGAATGAAGGTCGATGTTGATCCGGACACTAATTAGCAAGCCTTGTTTTTTTTCTCTGTCGATACACTGGCTATTTCTTTGATGACTGGATACTATTGGGATTTTACTATATTTATATGACGGGCGTCGTTGATAAAGCAGAAGACTCTTACCTTACTGATTTTTTTTTTCATTATTATTGTTATTAAGTTTTCTAGCAGTTAGGGTCATATCACTGATTGTGCAGTTAGTAATGTTCTGGAATAACAAAAAGGTACACATAGGATCTCTTTGTTATGCTGTAGTTGACTTATATATTTCATGTTTCAACTTTGTCAGGACTTTCGAAGCATGACATATCTATATATTTTGTCCTAGTTTGATCGATTTGAAGTTTAACTAATGCTTTGTTGATGATTCGATATTCTTCTTATGTTTTGTTTTTGCAAATATTGCTTTTATGAGAACAACAAGTAGTAGTATCATGACTGTCTCTTCGGAATTGTACTTATTACTAGATATTAGACTGGATTCTATTGCATATCTCATAAAAATGCTGATGCTATTACGTACTCACACTCGTAAGTCAATCTATGATAATACTAGATGTCCATGGTCCGTCCGGCCTAGCTAGTTGTGCATATTTACTTTTTTTCTGATAAGATTGGCCGACATGTAGCCATTTTGGATTTTGACAGTCAATATTTTTTAGAAACTTATGGAGGGACTTTTCGTAAATGTAACATTTCAGTTTCCTTTAGTGTCTTGTTGTGCATATTAACTTTTGAGATTGATCGCATAAACAAAATTGCTGACAAACAGCCATCTTGCATTTTTTACGCTGAAGGTTTGTTATTGCTCTTTCTTAGGAAAATATCTTTTTCTTAAATTGTGCTTGTTTATTTTTGAGACTGATCCAATACAATTAGATGACCGAATGGAAATCTTTGATTTTGAAAGTTAAGTTTTTTTTCTGTCTATTTCTTGAAAGTACTGCAGGGATCTCCATCAATATGAAGGCTTCCCTTGGTCTCTAGATGTACATGTTTACTTTAGAGACAGATTGAAATAACAAAATGGCCCACACGTGGCCATCTTGAATTAAACAATATTGTAAGTTCTCTTCCTCAGAAAGTAATCACAGGGATACTTTTCAAAATTGTATACATGTACGTATGTTCCCCTTGTTACCAAAAAAATATCAGGATCACATATCAATGTGACTAAATGTCAGGTTAACATGTGTGTGACATACAACCTCAGTCAAAATGGCAGGATCATATAGCTCTATAACGTACATCCTCAGTCAAAATGTCAGAAGCTCTATAACATACAAACTCAGTCAAATTGTAAGGATCACAGAGCTCTATCAAAAACAACCTTTGTCAAAATGTCAGGATCATATAAGTCTATAACATACAACTTCTGTCAAAATGTCAGGATCATATAATTTTATAACATGCAACCTAAGTCAAAATATCAGTAATATATATATTTGTAACATACAACCACACTCAAAATGTCAGGTTCATATATCCCTGTAATATATTACCGGTGTCAAAAGGTCAGAATAATATATATTTTTAATATACAGCCTCTTTCAAAATGTCAAGGCCATATAACTCTGTAAAAATCAAACTCAGTCAAATTGTAAGGATCACAGAGCTCTATCAAAAACAACCTTTGTCAAAATTTCAGGATCATATAGCTCTATAACATACAACCTCTGTCATAATGTCAGGATCATATAGCTCTATATCATACACTCTCTGTCAAAATGTCAGGATCATATAGCTCTATATCATACAACCTCTGTCAAAATTTCATGATCATATAACTCTATAATATACAACCTCAGTCCAAATGTCAGAATCATTTGAGTCATAGCATACAACCTCAGTCAAAATGTCAGGTTCATAGAGCTCTATCAAATACAACCTCTGTCAAAATGTTAAGAACATATAGCTCTATAACATACAACCTCTGTCTCAATATTAGGATCATATAGCTCTATAACATACAACCTCTGTCAAAAATGTCAGGATAATATAGCTGTAAAACATGAAACCTTTTACAAAATGTTAGGATCATATAGCTTTGTAACATGCAACCTCTGTCACAATCCTATGATCTTTTAGCTCTATAACATATAACCTATCAGTATGTCAGGATCATCTAAATCTTTAACATACAACATCCGTCAAATGACAGGCATACATAATTATATAACATACAGCCCCTTAAAAATGGCATTATCATATATCTTTGTAACATACAAATGTCAGGATTATTGGCTCCATAACATACATCCTCAGTCAAAATGTCAGGATTATATAGCTCTTAAACATACAACCTCAGTCATAATATCAGGATCATATAACTCTATAACATACATCCTCAGTCAAAATGTCAGGATTATATAGCTCTTAAACATACAACCTCTGTGAAAATTTCAGGATGATAGAGCTCTATCAAATACATCCTCAGTCAGAATGCCAGCATCATATACAGTAGCTCTATAACATACAACCTCTGTAAAAATGTCAGAATCATATAGATCATTTAACTCTGTATCATTCAACCTCAGTCTTAATGTTATGATCATTTAGCTCTATAACATACAATATCAGTCAGAATCTCCGCGTCATGTTCCTCCGTAAGGTACAACCTCAGTCAAAACATCATGATCATTGGCTTTATAACATACAACCTCAGTAATAATATCAGAATTATTGGCTTTATAGCGTACAACCTCACTCAATATTTCATGATCTCAAGCTCCATAACATACAACCTTTATCATAATGTCCGGATCATATAACTCTATAACATACAACACCAGTTATAATGTCAGGATCATTGGCTTTAAAACGTACAACCTCACTAAAAATGTCAGGATCATGTAGCTCACCTCTATCATTGTATCTGCTGAGGTAAAAGGATGGCCGCCGCTGATACCTGTATAAGTAGTGTCGCAAATTTGTTTACCCTCAAGTAAATTATGAACTTGCAAAATGGTTCCATTTTAGGGTTGATTTGTTCGTGTTTTTGCCTGCTTGTCATAGCGCGAATCTGATGCCGACTTTTAAGTGCTATCTCACTGAAATACCAGGCCAAAGGCACCTAGCACAGCATTCCGCCAGACCACATTATACTGCCAACGTGTGGACCAGTTGCTGCCATTACCCTAAATGCTAAACGTTAAGCAAGGAAAAACAACTTTCATTTTTAAGGACTTAAGTATGTCCATATATGGGGACATAACCCACATAAGTCGCCTCTAACGATACATGCAGTGTTTAACAGCAGGTATATTCTTTTCTCGAACCCAGACCTGCAGTGGCACAAGACCGAGCGCCAAAATGACACAGGGCTTCCCTACTAAATGGAGACAAGCAATTTTGATTAGTTAACTATTTCGGGATTACTTATATTAAAAACTTTCATATCAAAACAAACAGTTTCAGATACTCATTTACTCTCTTACTTTACACACATTCGTAGCAATCATGGATAGTGTAAATAAATCAGCATCCCAAAACTGTGTAATGCTTAAAGAACCGTAAGACAGACACGTGTAACGTAATCTAGTGTAAGCTTGCATAACTGTCTTATACAAAACGATATGCACCCAATGACCTGACGTGAATGCACATAATATTTGCTGGATGTAACACGTTAAATGTTGCACTGTATTTCATGACATACTCGTACATGCAGCATATAGCAGTCGGGTGTCATGTGTCAGTGAGATTCAATGTAACAAATACATAGTTTCCAATAGACTGTCTAATCCCCATAGCTCGTCCACGTTGGGTGGGCGGCCACCCGCGACATTGCCCATGTGAGGTCGCCGAGGGGATTTAATCCCTTTCACCTGAGCGACGCCTGTCACCCGTGCAGGGTTTATACAACTTTATCACCTGGTAAGTTCACTAGAAGGTCACCTTTTTGCAATTTTAACATATGGTATTGTTTATGTGGCGTACGTAGTTACCAAATCGTTTTACACAATGGCGCATACAAATATAGTCTAATCCGTCTTGTGTTGAACAATGTCTTACGGTGCCATATTTAAAGTAAAGTCTTTAATCAATTGATTAAATAAACATTGCTGAAAGATTCAATAGCTTCGGAAAGCTTATTTTTAAGACTTTGCAAAGGTTCTTGGCATTAAGCCGTTGACAGACGTGTTACTGAGTGCAAGGAACACTTGGTATAGATTGGGCTTACCATTAATCTGTAAGATAAACAAACGATTTTGACTTTTCAAGTGTGTATTTTCCCTTTCTTGACAGTAACATCCTCCACATCCCAACAATGGGGTACAGTGGTACCAGTGACAAACCCTTGTTTCAAGCATTTGGTGTATGCTTGGCAAGGGGATATTCGAACCTGGGTTGTAAACAATTTTGTCTTCGGGGGCGACGACTTAGAAAAAGGAGGGA